CTGTTGGCGAAACCTGTAGCAGTTTCTCGGAGAGCATGGAGAGTGGAACGTCTATCATGGGGCGCTTATCCCGGTCACCTTCTCCAAGGAACCAGCGGGTGGTTCAGTCATACAGGCTAGGCATCAATCCCTCTGGTCCTGCATCGCCTTCTGGCCCTTACAAATCTCCTGTTCGAGCTCCAACCCTTGGCAACCTGCATAAACCCAACAAAGACCAACGAAGTCGCCAAAAGATGCTTCAACGGCAGCGCTGTGAAGATCAGGATAATCCTCTTCCTGGTATTATGCTGTCAGCGCCCACAATGGAGTCACTGGTGTTGCCTTCAATAAGCAGCAATTTGAGTGCTTCTTGTGAAAAACTAGCTATTCATTCAACAATAACATCGGATAGTGATCTAGGCAATAGCCATACATCTCTCGCCCCAACCAGTAGTGTAGAGGAGCCAATGTGTGCAGTTTTCACAGTACCTGCACTTCGGAGAACTAACTCAGCAACTACACCTCAAATGAAAGAGGAGGCAGCGAGCAGTTTTAAGAGGGCTGATAGTGAGCAGAATCCCATGCAGAGAGCAGATAGTTCTGCATCACATCAAAGACGATCCAGTGAATCTTCTACTGGTTCTGATGCCAGTGAATCAGTATCATTCCATCTGATGGTGCCAGAATTAAGCATAGATAATCCTAGTAATGATACAAGCCCGTCTGGGTCACCCAACAGTTCTCCTTCAGCCTCGCCGGTTCCAGTGCGAGCCGCTACACAGAAGCCTCCTCCACGTCCCCCTGAGCCAACACCACCACCCATCAAGACCGGATCTTCACGGCCAGCAACACGCAATGAACGGCGAATGCTCAGGCGCCAGTACAGCACATACGGCCCTGCAAGTCCCACACTCAAGCACGATGACCAAGGAGGACATCATTCATTGCCGACGTACATGGAGGAAACAGATACTGACGATCCAAATCAGCCCCCAGCACCCCCCAGCTCTCCATACCCTCTCGCTCATCTTCTGTCACGAGAAGACTCGGCCTCTCCCCAGTCTTTGGCGTCTCCTCTATCGCCACTTCCTCTAGCACACAGACTTCAGCGAGATGGATCTGGCTCGTCACAGTCCTTAGCCTCGCCTGGCTCCCCTCGACTTATTGGCAGCCGTCTTCTTCGTGAGGGGTCTGAGTCTCCCCAATTCCCACCTTCCCCCACAGCCAATCGCCGTGATTCAAAGGCCTCTCCTACTTCCCCTCTCCCAGCACACAAACGTGCTCAGCGTGAAGAGTCAGCATCATCTCAGTTCCTTACGCCAACTGCTAATCTTCATCCTAAAGTCCGTCGACTCAACCGAGGCGATTCTGATGCCAACCATCTTCTGGCTCCTATTTCAACCCATCAAAAGGTCCGACGGCTCCATCGCGATGATTCAACCTTCTCCAAGCTAACGTCTCCCACTGCTCCACAACAATCAAAGACTCTCCAACGTGATGACTCTAGTTCTTCTCATTTATCAACCCCTCCTGCTACTCCTCTTCCAACATGCAAACATCTCCAACGCGATGATTCTGACTCGTCCCACATTCCTGAATCTCCTAGCTCGACTAAGTCATCAACACATTATCTCCAGAGTGATGATTCTGTGTCATCTCCTAGCTCTCCTCTCCCAACAGTTAGGCGTATACAGCGCGAGGACACTGATTCTTCTAACATTCCAGACTCCCCCGTTTCTCCCGAGTCCACATCCCAACCCCTCCAGCAAGAAGACACTGGCACTGGTTCCTCAAGCATGCCTACGCCTCCAAGCACTCCCCATTCGGTGATTACCCAGCTTGAGCGGGATGATTCAGATAACACCTCACCTGTTTTAGAATCATCAAGCTCTTCCCAGCCATCAACACCTCGTTTCTTGCGAGAGGACTACGCTTCTCGTCGTAAGACTGCATCTCCTGTTTCCCCACATGCGACAATCCAACGACTACATGCTGAGCAGCCGGGATCTCCCAAATTGCTATCATCCCCAAGCTCCCCTAAATCACCGGCTGCCCGGCTTCAGCAGGATCATCCCAGCACCCCTCCGGCTCTCCCTGGCTCTCCGCATTCTAGAGGTCCGACGATGAAGCGGGAAGACTCATGTTCTCCCCAGCCCCCGGCACCTCCAAGTTCACCGTTACCAAAAGCAAGACGCCTCCATCGTCAAGGCTCACGTAATTCCTTGCCACAAATTCCCCCTCCTTCACCTAGCGTGCTTAAAAATCGTCGAGATTCACAACCACAAATGTCCCCAGCGTCTCCGTATAGAGATCGTCGAGATTCACAAACACTCCAGTTTGAAATGTCTCCTTCTTCTCCTGTACCATTTCAATTTGATCGTCGGGAATCGATCAAACAGTCCCAAATCCCCCCTTCTCCAACTGCAACTTTTGCCGGTCGCCGTGACTCACCTTTGTCTCAAATTCCTCCTGGATCCCCATCATCAGCGTTTGCAAGCCGACGTGATTCACTTCAGTCACAGATGCCTCCCACTTCTCCCTCAGCATCTTTTGAAAGACGGCATGATTCTCCTCTATCCCAGATCCCACCTGGGTCCCCATCATCAGCTTTTGCAAGCCGACGTGACTCCCTCCAGTCACAGGTGCTTTCCATGTCTCCATCAGGAACGTTGGAAAGGCGTCGCGATTTCTCAATGTCCCAAGTCCCTCCTGGTTCCCCCTCAGCAGTATCTTTTGCAAGCCGACGTGACTCCCTCCAGTCACAGGTGCTCCCAATGTCTCCCTCAGCAACTTTGGAAAGGCGTCGCGATTCTCCTCTGTCCCAGATCCCACCTGGTTCCCCCTCAGCAGTATCTTTTGCAAGCCGACGTGACTCGCTTCAGTCACAGGTGCTTCCCATGTCTCCATCAGGAACATTGGAAAGGCGTCGTGATTTACCTATGTCTCAGATCCCACCTGGTTCCCCCTCAGCAGTATCTTTTGCAAGCCGACGTGACTCGCTTCAGTCACAGGTGCTTCCCATGTCTCCATCAGGAACATTGGAAAGGCGTCGTGATTTACCTATGTCTCAGATCCCACCTGGTTCCCCCTCAGCAGTATCTTTTGCAAGCCGACGTGACTCCCTCCAGTCACAGGTGCTTCCAATGTCACCATCGGCAACATTGGAAAGGCGTCGCGATTCTCCTCTGTCCCAGATCCCACCTGGTTCCCCCTCAGCAGTAGCTTTTTCAAGCAGACGTGACTCACTTCAGTCACAGGTGCTTCCTATGTCTCCATCAGCAACTTTGGAAAGGCGTCGTGATTCACCTCTGTCGCAGATTCCTCCTGGTTCCCCATCAGCAGCAGCTTTTGCAAGCCGATGGGATTCACATCAGTCACAGATGCCCCCTGCTTCTCCATCAGCAACTTTTGTGTGTCGTCGTGATTCACCTCTGTCTCAAATCCCTCCTGGTTCCCCATCAGTAATATTTACAAGTCGACGTGACTCACTTCAATCACAGATGCCTCCTGCCTCTCCATCAGCAATTTATGAAAGGCGTCATGATTTACCTTTGTCTCAGATTCCTCTTGGATCCCCATCAGCTTATACAAGTCGACGTGACTCACTCCAGTCACAGATACCTCCTGTCTCTCCATCGGCAATATTCGTTAGTCGCCGTGACTCACCTCTGTCTCAGATGCCTCCTGGTTCCCCATCAGCTGTTTATACAAGTCGACGTGACTCACTTCAGTCACATATGCCTCCCAGCTCTCCATCAGCAGTTTATTCAAGTCGTCATGATTCGCTTCAGTCAGAAATGCCTTTTACTTCTCCACCAGCGAGTATCACAGGTCGCTCAGATTCAATTCATTCTCGGATGCTAGCTACTTCCCCACCAGGAGCCTTTATTAGTATCCAAAGTTCCGCTGTTTCTCCCGATACAGCCTATGGAAGTCGACGAGATTCACTTATACTCCAGCCAGAAGTTCCTTCCTCTTACCCATCAAAATCTTCTATGGTCCATCAAGATTCACTAACACTCCAGTGCCAGATAATGTCCACATCTCCACCAGCTCCATTCATGGATCGGCAAGAATCTCTTGAAGCGCCCATTCCCCCCAGTTCACCACCATCTCCATTCAAAGACCGCCATATTCTACTTCCCAGACAAACTGAAATCCTTCCCGCTTCAGCTATATCTCCCTGCATCATGCGCCAAGCACCAAGCTTAGAACAGCCGAAACTTGTACGAAGTTCCCCAGCGTCTCCCTTCATAAATCAGGATGATTCGTTGCCAACTCAACCAACTAAACCTTCTAGCTCTTCACAGCCTATGACACGACAGGACTCTAGCTCCCCGCAGCCTCCAGCACCACCTAGCTCCCCAAAGCCAAAACCTAGACGACTGCAGCGTCAGGACTCGAGCTCATTCCAATCACAACTGCCTCCTGCATCTCCTAAGTCCCCCTTCATAAACAAAGATTCGCTTGTTTTCCAGACACCGATTCCGGGTTCGCCCGGACCTTATATAAATCAGGACACACTTTTCCCTCAGTCCTCAGACATCGCAAGTTCACCTGAGGGTCACATCCTCAGTCGTGAAGATTCCCTTTCACCCCAGCCACTGCCCCCTCCAAGCTCTCCTCAGCCGAAACCCCGTCGTTTCCAACGTCAGGATTCATACAAATCTTTGCCCCCGATTCCTCCATGTTCCCCTAAATCCCCTTTCATAAACCGCGAAGATAAATTTTTCTCCCAGTCGAAGCCAGAAGCCAGTCCACGCGTTCTAACTCGTGACGACTCCGTGTCGACCCAGCCCCAAGCGCCCCCCGCCTCCCCCAAGCCGTGCAGGCGAGTCCACCAAGACGAGTCGAGTTCGCCCAAGTCCCCAGTGCCAACCAGCCCTCTGAAATCAAAAGAGTCGGGCTCCCCCAGAGCTACAACCCCCCCTGTTCCCCAGCAATCAAAAGCGAGCCCCACCTCCCGCGAGGGCTCCGGCCCGCCCTCCCCCAGTCACTCTGTTATGGAGACCTCCTGCTAA